TTAGTACTATCTTCGAATACCTGGCTAACAACAAACCTTCGTATGTTTAGCACAATCTTCGAATATCCTGGCTAACGAACAAACAAACCTTCGTATGTTTAGCACAATCTTCGAATATCTTGGCTAACGAACAAACAAACCTTCGTATGTTTAGCACTATCTTCGAATACCTGGCGAACAAACAAACCTTCGTATGTTTAGCACTATCTTCGAATACCTGGCTAACAAACAAACCTTCGTATGTTTAGCACTATCTTCGAATACTTGGCTAACGAACAAACCTTCGTATGTTTAGCACTATCTTCGAACACTTGGCTAACGAACAAACCTTCGTATGTTTAGCACTATCTTCGAATACTTGGCTAACGAACAAACCTTCGTATGTTTAGCACTATCTTCGAATATCATGGCTAACGAACAAACCTTCGGACACAGCCCTACCAAATGCGATAACTAACTTTTAATATATATTTCATGCTCATGTAAACATACACAGTCTGTATACAAGTTGTATTTAAAAACGTTTAATGTATATGACAAAGTGAAGCTAGCTAACATAGTACAGGAGAGAACTTTCGTGAACTTATCACAAAGTACATGCAGCCCATCATACATATACCACAGCAAATTTTTACATCTATCTAAACCAGATTGGAGAAAATTTAAAACTAACACACGGAGATAAAACTCGAGAAAGGCCCATCTTCTGTAACAAGTTGTTGCTGTAAAAAAAGAAAAAGAAAAAATCCTCATGTGTTGTACTTATTGATAATTTTTGTGAACATACTAGTATCTTTAACATTACTACACGAACTTCTACTAAATATAGCTAATGTTAGAAGGCGAGGCCGAGTGATGTCATATTTTACGTCACACAATTTCAAGATTAGTCAGATTATCACACGCAGTTATGACGTATTTTGTAAATTTTAAGCTGTATTAACAACAATATGGTTAGGAAATTACTAAAGTCAGTTATGAAATTCCTTAATATAAACACCGAGAACCATCGTTTTTAACTTCGTTTCCTCCTTGGGCTTCCATGCGTCGCATAATAGTGTAATCTTATTTTTAACCCATCTTTCCGTTTAATTCATTGCATAAACCAGATATCTTTAAATATCTATGTGGTTAAATGTAAGGTTATAAATCAGATCATAAAATTAGAGAAAGACTAGGCACTTGAATTTTCTGCGTTGAGGCGTTAAATGTGTATATAACTTTTTACAAGTAAAAAAGGAAACAAAACAACAATTGATTCTTTATCCACTATATTAATCATAAAATACTTTAATAACCCTCAAACTGACCATAACATAGCTACTTCCAATGACCATAAATATTTCACTGTTCAATGGTCACATTCAGAGGCCTCAACCAACTTGATAGTCATTTCTTATGACTTTAACGCATCTTAATGACCAAAGAGTCTAAAATCCAACTGGTTACTGTCACTAACAATATCAGTACCAGTAGCGAGGTACCCTATTAGTGAAATAATGCATTCCACTCTCTATACGCCAGAATGCAAGAAGAACATATTCAATTGGTGTATTCATTACCAGATTCATTTTTATATATGATATATGTGGGTAGCTTGCTTTGACCGACAATTAATGTTAACAGCGTGGTTCTTACCTTTGAAAAACCTTATTTTTCATTATGGGAAAGGATGTACACTATATTCAAACAAGCGAATTTCAGTGTATCGCTTTATATAAAAAAGTGTATTTTACGATAATTGGTCAACTGAAGTATATTTACAGACTATTTATATTTATTTATGTCCAAGTTAAAAAGATGTTACCTTCTTGGTGAATGAGACATATCCAATCCAAACCTTACAATAACGAATTCATTCCTCCTTGTCCAACGTCATGTCGAATAAGCAGCGAGGAATTTCCGGAAGAAACTCGGGATTCCGGATACTGAAAGCTGAAAATAAGAAGTCTTAAAAAAGGAATAAATACCATTACAGGGAAATGCATCAACAACCTGGATATACAACTGATCCGAACCAAATCTGGGAGATAACACACTAATTGTATCCTGATACTGTTGATAGTAAAACCTGTACGTGTATAATAATGACGTATATATTAATATTGAGGTCATAATATGAGCTGTATTATGAAAACGTTATTAATCTTTATCGTATAATTTCATGTTTGGAGTATAACAGCGTCGATATGGTAGCGTGGCATACAAACACACAGTTATGAGGATGGCACTACTCCACACTACTTGCAGAACATTTTATTTAAAACAACTTGACCAAAATTTTAGGGGCGTACTGTATAAGAGGAAAATAAGGACAAGTTATTGTAACAACTTGCTTCCCAAATTACTGTGTATAGTGAATGTTAACGCAGAGTTAGACCTTTTCAGGATCTAACGTGAGGTTCGAGGAATTGGCAGATGGAATGCGATGTGGTAACAAACGTGGATGAGAAGGGCACCAGATGATTTCGTGTTACCCAAGCCAAACTATAGTTTTAACTCTTTGAAAGCTGACATTTTCAAACGCTATTTTACCCCCCCCCCCATGCATCAGTAGCTCAGCGGTAAGATATCTGGAATTATAACGCTAAAAAGCAGGTTTCGATACCAGTGGTTGGCATAACACACATTGTGCAGTTTTGTGCTTAACAGTAAAGAGACACCATTTAAAAAATGCAAGATGAAATAAGATGGCGAACAGAAACAAGTTGACAAAATAAACAATAATTCTAAGAACCCATGAGTGAAAGTAAAGGTGAATATCTTATACGAAACACACTACATCTGCAACATCCAGTGCTAATTGATAGGCTACTGCAGAGGTTCTCAAATTTTTCAGTTCAAGACCCACTTTGTAAAGATAAACATTCAAGAATCCCATTTATCAGATAACTACACACCAATAGAAAAAATCATTCAAAAACAAAAACGCTATTACAATAAAACAGTTATACAAAGTTTATTTTAAAATTATTCCATAGCTTTAAAACACCCAATCACAAAACATGTAGAATACTAAAGAGAAGAACCGCGCATGACCAAGTGGTTAGCGTGCCTAGACTGTGAGCCCGATGTTTCATGTCCCATAGCCCCCCAGAACTCGCTCCCTACATCGGAACTGTGGGTGAGTTATAAGACTAACGTACAACTTTGCGAAGATAGCCCCCCTGTAACTTTGCGCGCAAATTTTGAACGCAGCATATAAAATCAAACATGCATTTCCTTAGTACAACAAGACAGCAAATTGGTTGAGAAGAAGCAACTGACTTTCAATATATCAGTATTTAAAGGGGAAAAAATCATTTGTTGCATCTTTTAAACTCCTTCGGGACTCAGTTTTAAGAACATCTGAACGAAAGATAACTATTATATTAAACCAGCGGTTTGTCCTTCATTTATACATACCAATCCGATAGATCTAAATGAAATAAGCCCTATTTGAACTTACCATCTTATAAAGAAGAAAGGGTACATATACATCTCTAACAAACTGTGTTGGAATGCTTAAAACTTGCGGGATATTTTATTGTGTCTTCTGGAGTCATTTCCTTGTCGATGTGATTCTTCTGGGGACATTTCCTTATCGATGTAATTCTTCTGTGTCTTCTGTGGACATTTCCTTATCGATGTAATTCTTCTATGTCTTCTGGAGTCATTTCCTTATCGATGTGATCCTTTTGTGTCTTCTGGAGTCATTTCCTTATCGATGCGATTCTTCTGTGTGTTCTGGGGTCATTTCCTTATCGATGCGATTCTTCTGTGTGTTCTGGGGTCATTTCCTTATCGATGTGATTCTTCTGTGTGTTCTGGAGTCATTTCCTTATCGATGTGATTCTTCTGTGTCTTCTGGAGTCATTTCCTTATCGATTCTTCTTTAACACAAGTGGTAACATATACTTCATACTCCTTAGATAGAGCTTTGTACAATAAATTAGGTTTCCATAATCTCCATATTAAACACTAGTATGTATGTATGTATGCCTACACGGTTGCGCCACGCTCCCTCTTTGTCAGCTTTCAAAGAGTTAAAACTATAGTTTGGCTTGGGTAACACGAAATCATCTGGTGCCCTTCTCATCCACGTTTGTTACCACATCGCATTCCATCTGCCAAATCCTCGAACCTCACGTTAGATCCTGAAAAGGTCTAACTCTGCGTTAACATTCACTATACACAGTAATTTGGGAAGCAATGCCTGATACTGCTGGCCTTCCTTTCTAGATGGTTAAACCTAGCACCAAATTTATACAATATTCAGACTGAACTCGACCACAGCTATACCGAGGTAGTCTCAGAGCAACAACACTAACGGGCAGTTAACAGTAAACTGGCTTACTATACCGTAACATATTTCAAGGTCACAGCTTATTAGTTAGCAAATATTCTCGGTGTATAGATACACTGTTAAAAAATACGGTCAAAGAGAAAGTATACTGACATACAGAACTTGTTTTAAAGACAACTTTTAGATTTTATACCATCCTCTCCCCATTCCCCTTTCACCACACTAACAAAGAGAAGATAAAGATAACTATTGGCATTAGACATGCTTTATAAATATTAGTTATGAAGTGGCTGTTATAAAACAAAAGTAGTGAACTTAAAAAGTCATGATAGTGTTAAGTGTTATATTGTTGGGTAGGTTCTTACGGATTATATAGTAACAATAATAATTAATTTTTTTTCTTCAGACCGCGTTACCTCTGACACAAGTTGTTGGCCTAAGTTCACAAACAACATTTAAACAAAAATTCCGCGACTAGTGGTACTATACCTCTAACTTACTTAATTTAGATCGATAATTGTTTGTTTGTTTTGAATTTCGCGCAAAGCTACACGAGGGCTATCTGCGCTAGCCGTCCCTAATTTAGCAGTGTAAGACTAGAGGGAAGGCAGCTAGTC